TTCACATCATGATACGATGGAGGTTTCAATCCCTTGCCAAACGATGCAACAGATTCTAACATTCTTACAAAATATGGATCCTTTACCAAATTAAAAGGAAGGGCATTAGCATAAAACCATCTACAAATATCGAAACATACATCTTTTCTACCCTTTTTCTTCAACATGGTATTCAAAGTAATTGTGGTGGTTGGTTGTATTTTATCAGCAGTAGTACTACCCACACTGCCACTACTTTTCGAATCCATAAGACTCATATCTTTGCTAATTGCCCTATCATCCAATAATTGCTTAAAAAATTCAATTACTTCCTCAGGGCAATGCTTACACGCTGCTATCTTTGCAATTACCTACCAAATGATTTTTCATTCTTGAAATGCCTCCCCAATAGACATTTGCACAATGAATGCATTTCAATTTCAACCTTGATCCTTCTACTTTGTCACAATGTTCCCATGTGGGATCATTAGCAAGTTTTTTCGTCATTTCTATATGAAAATTGGATGCAGGTGATGCCACTGTTTCACAAATTTAAAATTAATCAAGATTCAAAAATTTTTATACAAAAAAAATATATATACATTTGGCTTTGTAAATAAATTAACATCATTTTTTACTACACAGGACCAACGATCAATGGAGATTGGGAAGAAGAAGAAAAAGGAGTACCTGGAGAAGGAAGAAGGCAGCGATCAACGATCACCCACAGTCGGAGACCAGCAATCACCCACAGTCGAAGACCAGTAATCACCCACAGTCAAAGACCACCCACACAGTCAAAGACCACCCACAGCGATCACCACCCACAATCGAAGATCCACCACAACGATCACACCCACAGTCAATCATTCGTCGTCGATGGCTGAAGAGAAACCTCTAAGTCTCTGACCAACGATGAGCGAAGGCTGAATATGAGAGAAATGAGGGATTTTATTTTTTTTTGTAACCCTAACCACTAAAATGACGTCGTTTCAGTGGTTATAGGGATTAAAAAAATAAAATCAGAGCACAAAACGACGTCGTTTTTAAAAAAAAAAATTGTATGTATTGTGTGTATCGTACCGATACGTATCGTATCGTAAAAATGTATCATATATCAGACGATACACTACAAAAACGATACATAATTACGATCCGTATTGTTTTAGGCCTATATCGTAACGTATCATACGATACGTATCGTACGATACTAACAACTATGACTCGGATCCATAGTGAAATCAATGGTTGTAATCAGTATTGTGAAAAGCTCGCCTAGAAGAAAAGCAAGGCGAGGCGAGCATATCTCGTTTGGAGGACTCCAGACGAAGCAAACGTGAGCGAAGCGAGAAAAAAGCGAAAAAACGTTCGTTTTATTATAAAATGCGAGAAATGTTTGATTTTTAATTTGAACCGTTGGATTGGGCGATTGGAAAAAAAAAAATTATAAGATGAGATACACCGAATTATCCCCTTATCTAATAAATAAAATCACAAACCCTAATTTATCCTCTAATTTATGCCCTTAGTTGCTCGTTGCTCAGGAGGACTACACAGAAGCTCGAAGCTCGTTGCTACAAAGAAGCTCGTTTCTTGCTGGACTTGATCGACAGAGGCTCTCTGTCGTTGCTCGCTGGACTCGATCGATCGACAGAGCCTCTGTTGCTGCTTGCTGAACTCGATCGATCGACAGAAGCTCGTTGCTCGTTACTCCTACAGGATCGACATGTTAGTCTTCTTCTTCTCTTCTTTCTTTTTTCTTCTGTCTATTAGTCTCCTTCCTCATCGATTCTGTTGTTTTTTTTTTTTTTTCTGATCTCATGTTCTGTCTTTTGCTCCTTCCTCACCAATGCTTTTTTTTTTTTTAATTTTTCTGATCACATTTTTTTTTTTGTTCTGATAATCAATACTCTGAACAATATTTCTTTTTTCCCTTGTATTGCTGTCTAGTCCATATGAAGATCCCACACAAAAGTCATGTGAATGTGAACAATATTACTTTTTTTTTTTAAGCACAACTTATTGCTCGCTAGATTGATTTCTAAGTCCTTGAGATAGTTTCTTTAGTTGTTTGAATTGTGTGTCTTATGTTTTTAAATATTAAGATTTGAGATATTATTAGTGTTTATTTGAATTTAAATGTTTAAACTATGACTGTTATTAAAATTTAAGATATTATTAGTGTTTGTTTTAATTTAAATGTTTATGGTTTTATTTGATTTAAATATTTAGTATATATAAAATTAAAACTTAGATGTGTATAAGTAATTAAACTAAAATATTTTATTTATTTTTTTAACTGTTCGCTTTGCTTCGGTAAATTGTTTCGCTTCGCTTCTCGCTTCTCGTTTAGGCGTTAGGAGCCTTGGTCGTTTCGGTTCGCTTTACGCCTTAAATAACACTGGTTTGTAATTATCAAGTTTAATTTTTAAGTCTAGTTTTTTAAGTTCATGTAGTATTGCTCGATTCAAAAAGGAGTTTGGACTTGTATCTAACATCTTATTTTGGAATTTGTTTCTTATGACTCTTTGTCTTCTTCTATCGTACTTTTGTTGCGTCTTTGTCTTCCATATCCCTTTCTCAAATTGGAATAAAGTCCTTGCAGAATCCAAGTGGAAAATAGTCATGGTAGAAGAAATAAGAGCTTGTGAAAGAATAAACCTGAGAGCTTTTCTCTCTTCTAGCTAGAAAAATCAATAGGATGTAAGTGGGTCTTCACTGTCAAGCAGAATGCAAATGACACGATAATAGATACAATGCAAGGTTGGTAGCTAAGGGGTTTCTTCTGACATATGACATTGACTATCTGGAGATATTTGCTTTTGTGGCGAAGATGAATTCTATTCGTGTCATACTTTCATGTGTTGCCAATCTGAGATGGGATTTACAACAATTGGACGTAAAGAATGTATTCCTTCACGGGGGACTTAGAGGAGAAAGTGTACATGGATATTCTTTCGAGGCTTTTTTCTCTAGAGGCATGAAAAAGTTTGTAAGCTAAAGAAATCTCTTTATGGACTTAGGCAGCCTTTTAGAGCTTGATTTTAGAGATTTCTTTAGGTAATGGTCAAGTTTGGGTTCACGCAAAGTCATGCAAATAACACTGTATTCATCAAACAAGGGAGTGATAAGATCTTAGTTCTTATATTATATGTTGATGACATAATACTCGCAGGTGATGATGTGGAGGAAGTGGTCAAACTGAAAGTCCACCTTGTTAAAGAATTTGAGATTAATGATTTGGGGCGGTTACACTATTTCTTAAGGATTTAAGTGGTTAGGTCAGATAAATGCATCTTCATCTCATAGATGAAGTATATCCTTGATCTGTTTAAGGAAATCGACATAGTATGTTGTAAACGTGCTACCTCACCTATTGAGACAAATCACAAACTGAGAAGTAATCAGAGGCTTGTTGGGAGGACTTATATACCATTCTCAAACTTGCCCAGACATAGCATATGTAGTGAGTGTTGGCGAATTCATGCATGCTCCGTGTGCTCTTCATCAAGAGGTATTTCATTGTATATTGATGTATCTCAAATCATCTCCTTGGAAAGGAATATTGTTCTCAAAGTAATGTCATTTGAGAATAGAAGTTTTTACAGATGCAAATTGGATAGGTTCAATTAAGGATAGAAGGTCCACTATAGGGTATCCTACTTTTGTAGGAAGAAATTTAATTTCTTGGCAGAGCAAAAAGTAAGTAGTGGTGACTAGATCTAGTGCAGAGGCAGAATACAAGGTTATAACTCATGGTATTTGTGAGCTTATGTGGTTGAAAACCTTAGTGAAAGGTTTGAGTGTCACTAATGATGAGCCTATGTGCCTGTATTGTAATAATAAGGTTGCCATAAATATTGTTCACAACCCATTCAACATGACAGAATAAAACATATTGAGATTGACACACACTTCATTAAAGAGAAGCTAAATGATGGGCTGATTTGTATGTCATATGTGTGAACAACTAGCTGACGTGTTTATTAAGGGGGTTAATAGTAGAATTTTTCATTCAGATGTATGTAAGTTAGGTATGAGAGATATTTATGCTCTAACTTGAAGGGGAGTGTCAAATGTTAGGTTATTTTAATTGAGGCTATTGTTGTAATCCTCATTTTATTATTAGTTAATATAAATATGGGTAATGAGAGGAGAGGCAGGTTAACTTTCACTCTCCTTAATCCTAATCTCTTTCTTGTCTTCTCTCTTGCCTCTTTCCCTTTCTAAACCCTAGATCTTTTGATTTCAACCAATAGTGTAGTGAAAAGTGCACCTAGGCATTGGCCTAGGCTCGAAGCAAGGTGAGGCACACCTTCCCTGAGAACGTGGCTGTGGCGCATGAGGCTTTTGCCTTGATCTTAAGCCCAAGGCGCACGAAGCGTGAGCCTTTTTTGTTCCCTTCATTGTTATTTTGGTCATTGATATTATACTTTGATTGGTATAATGGATATACATAACAACAAATTAGAAATCCAAGTGTTAGTATTGAATTCTGACCCTAAACTCTACCTGACATTGCAGATTTAGTCTAATCTAACTCACAGTACAAAAGTTTGTGTTGAAATTGGCTTTAGGATGACTGTATCTTGGATAATATTTATTTTTTATTATGGAAAATTTGATGCTAAAGGTGATTAATGTTGCTTGGAATCTCATTGTTATTTTGTTCTTTACTGGATAAAATTAGTTAAAATGAGTTGTATATATATTGTATTTTCCTGCAAGTTACTTTTTGTTTAGAGCATATTATTGTATCTGTTGTTTAGATCAGCCTTATTTTTGTATTTGCCAGAAATTCTCTAAACTTTGTTGCATTTCAGAGCTTTGGTGTGTGGTAGGCCACAAGATGCCTTGGTTTTCTTTTTTCCCTTGTAATTTGGTTTTTTTTTTTAATGGAAATAATATCACCTGCTGCTTAGATGAGCTATATTCTTTGAATTTGCTATAAATGTTCTAAAATTTGTTGTATTCAGTTCACTTGCAGCATAGTTTATAAATGTGGCTTGAATCGATGAAACCTGTGCTTTGCTTCGCACCTCGCGCTTAGGCCCGGGGTTCCTTTCTGTCTCAGTTGCTGTTGTAATCAGATAAGCTACAATTGATTTTACCAGTTTGGACATGCCAACTACTCCAATTTTGGATTCTGGCACCTGTCTCGGCTTGATCAAAGCCATCTCTGCATCGCTCTTGTTGAGCATGCCACCACCATACACTATCTCTCAAATCAAAATCCATCACCGGCCATGCCCTAGTTATATGTATGGGGATGTATTTATTTATATATAAAAGGGGGTTGGATGTGGGTTTGGTAGGTGGTTGGTGCATATTGGTAGGGGTGGGGAAGATCTAGACCGTGGTGGATGGTGCTATCTTTCTCACTCATTGATGTGCTAATTATTGTGTTTACGTATATTTGTATTGTTTATAAATAAAAATAGGAGGCAGAAATGTGAGACCATATTTCTGTTCCGTCAGGTACTCGACCAAACCTAACAGGGAAGGCAAATGATGTTTCAAGTAGTACAGGGTTGTGCCCGAAGATAAGACAATATACAAGGGGTGTGAACTAAAATTTCCTCAGACTTCTAAGGTATATAAATTGCTGTCTAAAAGTAGGATTTATTGGTTTCTGTGAATTCTTCTGGGTCTTGGTGATTGTTTTGATAGTAGAACTTGCCTGTCTCATAACCTGTACCCCTTGCATCTTCTTTTTTTTTCTTCAATATGCATCTATGCCTTGCTTTTCCTTTGGTGTATGAACGTACATCTATTCTGTATGTTGGATAATGTCTCTCTTAGATTTTATCTGTACTATGAATGTGCTAAAATTCTAAAAAGTAGGTATTTAACCTCTGTATGCCCTACCTTCTTGTGATTTTTAATTTAGCGATATTAATTTCGACATCACAGAATATGCTACAAACTGGCCTCATTATTGGTGGTTGGGACAAGTATGAAGGAGGAAAAATATATGGAGTGCCGCTTGGAGGAACAATTTTGGAGCAGCCTTTTGCCATTGGAGGTCAGCCTTCTGATCTGATTCGAATATGTTTCTGTCACCCTGCAACTTTTCTTGTTTAATATTTGTTATTTATGACATTCTTCTTCTTGGTGGTGTTATTTGCAAGTTGTCTGTTTCTTTTTCCAGTCATCTTATTCCTCGTAATAATATGAAGCTTGTTGCACTTGCTTTGCTGGTAAAGCTTTCTGTCAGACTTACGAGTTTCATGCTGAGTTTCCTTATCATATTTGTTGTACAGTGGGTACATGAACAATAAAGATCTAAAAATGTTGTGGTTTGGTTCAATTTAATCTCAATGTATTTCAACATAATTCTTTTTTTCATGTAAGCCTTTGTTATGGATATTCTCAGTGAATTCTATTAAATCTCTATGAGTTACATCTGGTGTTGTCCTTCAGATGTGTTTTTTTGCGAACATTGCATCCTTCTGTTTTAGTATTGGAATTTATCCATCAATTAAAACATGTCTGTTTTTGTATTTATTTGAGAATTGCCAAGATGTCAGGCAAACAATTTAGTGTTTTATGCTTGAACTGGCAAGGAATCTCTTGTTCTATTGTTACTTTTCTCAAAACAACTTATTTCTGTTTGATCTATGAGCAACTAAGAGATATTTTTGTTATCTAATGCTGGCATATACATAATGGTGTTTATGTTAATTCAGGATCTGGCTCTACCTATTTGTATGGGTTTTTCGACCAAGAATGGAGGGAAGGGATGACCAAGGATGAAGCTGAGGTATGTACCCCATAGTCTGTATGTTTGCCCGCTTAAAGAGCATACCAGAAATATTTCAAGAATTGTATCCACCTCAAATTTTCTTATGTGATCCAATTATTTGTCATTGATTCTAGAATGCAACATTCATTTCATTTATTTTCCAATTCTTTTCCTTTACTGCTTTTTTATTGGGATTTTTGGATCTGGCGGGGTGGGGGTTTATTTCTGGAATTTATGCTACAATATTTGTTGGCACTGCCTTTCTTGCAGGCACAAATGTACATATCTACGATGGTTTTTTTTTGAACATTCCCAATAATTCCTATATCCAAAATCTTCTTGTACTAGAATAACTCTTGAAATTTCAATATATCATCTTGCTATTTATTGGTGTGGCTATGAAGAAGTTAAGGTTATGGTGACATCTATTTTACTTTAATAAGGAGACTTTGTTGAAACACTTTGCAAAATTTGTTCTGTTGATAGTCTGGATCCTAAGTACTTGCCATCATTATTCTCTGTACGGTTGAATTTATGCTGAACATTTCCTGAACATATTTGTTTTCATCCTGCAGAAATTTGTGGTGAAGGCAGTCTCTCTTGCAATTGCTCGAGATGGTGCTAGCGGTGGAGTTGTTCGGACTGTTACTGTGAGTACTTTTTATAGCTTATATTCAATAGTGCAACTTACATTTATCCATTCACAACCGTAATTGGTCTTAGCCTGAAGCCAAGTAAAGGTAGTGCTTTAGACATGGTTGACAAACTTTAATGATACAGCTTTATTTTGTTTGCCATGACAATGGATTATTTTATCATAAGGACTCAAAAGTCTTTCGCAACCTCCTGTCTTAGTCAATAGTGGTACTCTATTTTCAACTTTGGGGTGGGGTTTGAGTGCTTGTCACAGCTCTTCTCCTACCATAAGAGGGGATATGTGTAGGATAGTGGACCCAAGGAGATTATTTTTGGGGTGAGCAATGAGGTGGTCTTTTGGTTGTTGAGGAGACAAACAGATTTAGGTTGAATTTGAAAATGGATTGTAAAGAGAGCTTGTATCCCATACTGGATGGTTAGGATCAATCAAGGTTGGTTTATTTGCTCAAGGGCTTTTTCACTCATTTTCAATTATTTGAGTTGGATGCTCTAATACAGTATCAGAGCTGGACAATGGTTGATCAGTGGGTTAAGTCTCTTACCCATTTGAATTTTTTAATATGCATGGTTGTCTGTTTGCTTGTTAGCCCCACGTGCGAGTCTAAGTCCCACGACAGGGAGGGTTTAAAGGGAGATTGTATCGCACTTCGGATGATTAGGACCACTCAAGGTTGGTTTATATGCTGGGCCTCTCCACTCATTGACAATTGGTTTTATGTTGAATGCTCTAACATGGACATCTAAGGTTACTGTAACGAGAGAATTCCGAGGTGCTGACCTCACCAATCATTCCTTCCAAAGATCTGACACTCTTTCACAAATGTTCTAGGATATTACCTTTTTGTGGGGAGCTTAATTGATGATTGCTATGTTTTGGGGTATTAGCCAATAGCCGGAGAAATAGTTTGGTGAAGATACAAAGATGGGGGACCACGATCCACCAACTCGGGCAAGGATTACAACATTGGAGATCATGGGTAGGCCGCCCTGGGTGACGGCTTGGAGGATAGTAGGTTTACATGTCACAAGGCCATTAGCTGGAACCGTTTGTGTGACAGAGAGTTTTTGTCACACATTTTTGTTTGTCCTGAATAAATATTGGAGAATACATGGGGTGGAGGCTTTTTGAGGGGATTTAGGTCATGTTCATAGGAGAATGCAACACTGATTCATTCAGAAGGGGAAGTTGGCATACCGCCATATCCAGACCTTGCTTATAGTTTTTTTTTTTCTTCTAGCATCATAGCTGGTGCTGGCCGAGCCGTTTTTGGTTAATTGATTGTTGCCCTTACACTCCAGTCTATCTTACAAGGTGTTGAACATGAACTCCACTTTTTTTGTACTCTTGTGGCTATGGTACTGCTTTTATACCCCTTCACTATGTAGATGATCTTGTGTTACTAAATTTTCCGGTTAGGGGGTGTTAATTGAGTTGAGTTTTGCGATCTTGTGTTTAAGCTTGTTTTTTTAAACGAGCCTAGAAAATTATTCAAATTCGGCTCGTTTAAAACTCGAAGCCAGCTCGAGTAGCTTGATTATTTTACATATAAATGAGTCGAGCCTTGTAGATTCGTTTTTCTAAACAAGTCTGAAAAATTGTTCAAGCTTATTTAATTTAGAACACGAGTTGAATTTTAGTTGAGTTTTATTTGAACCGAACTTGAACCGAGTCCGAGTAGTTTGTCTCGATTAACACACTTATTTACAGTATAGAATATTGGGTCATAAAAAAAAGAACATGTTCAAAAATTAAGTATTATAGAACTGCAATGTTAAAATGGATGCGTAGTAAAACAAGAAAAAATAAAATTTGAAATTAGTATATAAAATAACCTCAATAAGAGATAGATTAAGAAGAACATGTAACTTAAGTTTTTTTGCACATGTTTTTAGAAGACTTAGTAGTTCATTGATAAGAAAGAAAGTGTAATTATTATTCATATCACTGATAATGCGAGAAATAGAGATAGATTGAATTTTAACTTTGAACTAATACTAAAAAAATATATAATAACTCACGGTTTAATAGAAAATATGACACTCAATAGATTAAAATAGAAAAATAAGATTCATATAACTGACTCTAATCCAAATAGTCGAGATAAATACTTTGTCGAATTGAGATGTATTAATTTAAGGGTAATTTGCTGTCATTTAAGCTTTGGATCGAAGAAAAGAGACCACTCTACTTAAGGTAGCATTCCTTCTGAAAAGAAACCTTAATTAAAAAATACACAGCATTCCATGTCAAGGATGTAGTTGCATGCATTTATAATAAGGAATAGGAAAAGCAAGCATCATCAACCTCGTCACAACTACAGCCATTATGTTTCTATATATATTAGTTCTAAGTAGCACGAAATTGTTTTGAGCTGTGCATTATATCAAGTTTATCAACTGCCCTAGCTTTCTAGTTCTAAATAACTCAAAGCAGTTGGGAGTTGTACATAGATATACAGGTCTGCTTAGAGTATCGAAGTGTGATTTATACATTAATATTTTGAATATGCTAACATATGCCAATAATCGCTAATTTATAGACGAATTTTTTCAACTAGAATTTTGAAAAAAGTAATTGTTATCCATGATTTTTTTTTTTAAAACTACTTTTCCCGACAATAATAACTTTCAGATGTTAAGCTAAAGCTATTATCCCAAGATAGTTGAGACAGAAACCCTAAATTGATGTTATCATCTCATTAATTATAGGAACCACAATTTAAGTTGATTCGACTTCTAAAGATTATTCCAACAACAAAATAGTTCCTCAGTCAAAGAATCCTTACACATCAAAGTGACTTTGGATAAGGCAGTAAAGAGTAGTTTTTATTTATTTGTCTCCATGAAGCTTAGAGGAACCCTTAAACAATCAAATTTTATTATTTGATTTCAAAGTGAGCTACTCTTTTGAGAAAATTCAGACCTAATCTTAAATTATCGATATCATCTCTATAATTAAGCGTATCGCAATTTAAGTAGACCCAACTTCTTGATTATGAGTACTCAAACCATGAAATGAAATGATTCCTGAACTATTGAATCCTTAGCTGTCAAAGTGACTTTAAATAAGACAAAGAAAAGTAGGTTTTAGGAAAATTATATTCCTTCTAAATCTCAATGACCAATGCTTTTCACAAAAAGGGTGATACCCTCCAAACAATGCTAAAGTTTGGTTCTAATCCTGGTCCTTTTCTTTAGTGATCATCATGATTCATTAGATTAGGATGTTTTTCCCTCCATTACAACTATTCCAACTTTCACTCAAGTGCGACATTTTACATCATAAATAAACCAACATTGTATGAGTTCAAGGTTATCCCGCATACTTTATTCACAATTATATTAGGCTCCTTAAATTAATATTCTGCCAAATTAATCCTTACAGTCAAAATTGGTGAAGTATATCTTTTCTGTTATTTTTCTTATTTGTTCAAATAAAAATTTTATTGTGTTGTTTAAGAGGGAAATTTGACATCAACCTTTGTCTTCTCTCCCCTATTTTTTCTTATTTACCTCTTCTGGATATATAATATTTGTTTGCAAAAAATTCGGAGGAGATTGAAGGAAGGATACATTGCAACTTTCTTGATAGGTTTCAGGACCAATTTTTTTCCTTCAAAAAATAGTTGGGGTAATATAGTTGAATTTCGGGCAAATTTTAAGGGTCAACCTACTTTTTTGACCCTTTCACTCTTCTCTCCACAATTGCATCTCATAACATTGGGTGAATGAATGAACAGAGACTAGGCAGACAGGCAAGGAATGAGTACCAATCAGACAACCACCATTTCAGGCCACTATTGGGGAATTAAGACCCCTAACTAGTCACTTCAGTTAAGTTGGCACTTTTTTATAAAGACAGGTTTATCCCTGTTAATTCTTTAGGGTACCCTACTAACAAGAGGCTGTCTGGGTCAGTGGGGCCCATGCATTATTGGACGAGTTGTCTGTTGAGCTGGCTTGTGGGAGCCATGAAAGGAAAAACATTGAGTTGGCAGCATTTAATGCTGTTTGGTTCATCTCCTAACCAATACCACTCCAAAGGCATTCTTTTCAATCATGTCAGATGGAGAGTGTGTGGTGTGGCACATATCAGAATCCACTAGAGAAAATTATATACTCTGCAGAAAGAGGTTCCAGCTAGGTTTCACTCAGTGCACCACTAAAATCCACCCAAATTGCGTATTGTATCAGAATAAAAAACTTCCATTTTTTTTTTCATTCAAATGACTATCTACTCAATTGGAATGACAATCTAGTTTACTCAATGAAAGACCTATGTCTGATTAATTTGGTTGACAAAAAAATCAGTTCAATTCTTTTGATTTTCAGTTTATTGCACATACACACACATGGGGCAGGTAGTGGCCAAGCCCCCTGGATCTTTCAAAATTGGCTTAAGTTCAACGAACAGTTCTGCAAAGAATGCACATCAAAATTTTATTTAAATATAATTTATTGACTTAATTTATCGTTATTATTAGATTAATAACATTTTTTTAACCCTCTTGAAAAGGAATGTCAATTTTCTTTTTCATATTTTGTTAATAAATAATACAATTTTACTTTCAATAATTGGCATTTATAGCATTGCCATATTATTAAACTTTCCAACTAGTTTTGATCCAATTATTGCCCTTTTTTATTCCTTGATAATTGTATTAAAATTTTCATTTGGTGGGCGAATGTATGGGGACTATAAAGGCAGGGAATGAGTAGCAATCAGGGAACTACCATGTGTAGGCCACGATTGGGGAATTAAGGCCCCAAATTTCTATTAACTGGGCATTTTTTATACAAAGACAGTATTGTCCCCTTCAGGATCTGTTGTCCTCCATTCTAATCAAGGATAGAACTGAGCAATCAAACTGTTAATTCTTAGGTTACCGTACCAACAGGGGGTTGTCTGGATCTACGGGCACATCATTACTGGATAAACTGTGTTCATTTAATGCTGTTTGGGCTTTTTTTTTTTTTTTTTTTTTTTTGGGGG